CCCTCATCAAAACAATAATAATTTCACAAAAATCCACTTATTTTTTTAATATGATAATGAGTATAAAAGTGTCAATAATATAGGTGAAACTCAAGCTCTCGATCTCAAAACCCTAAAGAAGCCCTCTCTCAAAACCAACCACCAATAAAGGGTGTGGAGTTCAACATAGATGATGAAGTCAAATCTAAAACGAAATATTGTGTATTCAATGCAAATTCGAATCTAGATTCTTGGAGATAGATATGCTGATGCTTCTGTTTTTCCTCCGAAAAAACCAACAAATCCAAAAGCAATGATTTCAAAAGCGACGAATCCGAGGATACTAACGGTCGCGGCTCCATCACAGACCTCCATATCAAATAATGGACTCAATTATACGATGACCAAATACCAGGACCAAACGACCTTAGTAAGCTGGTAAGTAAGCTTATTCATCTGCGATTTTGATGGTTAGGTTAAGTTTTGATGGTTATGTACTATGAGGGACTTTGGGATTTTCGAATCAGAGGAATGGCAGTCAACGACGCAAGTGGTGGTGGAGTCGATTCAGAGACCCAGCGGCAAAGAGAGAAAAGAGATTAATTCTGTCAAAAAATGGTCTTCGATTTAAGGTTAATGATACATAATCAATCATCCGACTTTTGATGACTTATTGAATCATTTTAATGGTTAAATAGCTTCTATGAAATGTTATTTAATTTACCCTCACACTAACCTACAGAATGAAGATTATATGTTCAAGTTTGTATTCAAGATTTTTAGTCTATAGTTTCTGACATTTGTACAATTTTAAATAGTAATCTACGCTTTACTAGTCTAATAATTATAGCAATCTTGCTTCAAGTAATACAAGAGAAACCTACTGGGATTTGTACAGGTCTTGCTCTCCACCAATGTTTATAAACTATTCTTGAGAGAATGCAAAGAAAACCTTAGAAGACATATCAAACACCAACAAAATTTGCTAGAAAAAAAAATAATATACCTTTTACCACCAAAAAAAAAAACTCAAAATTTTTTAATTAGAAATAATGATATGCTTTAAGGCTACAATAATATGTGTTTTAATTGAAAAACAAAACCCTGAAAATTAGTATAAAACCAAATTTAAAAAGGAAACTTAACATAATTAAAGAATAGAAAATAGAATAATTGTTTCTTCAGATATATCTCATGCATTAGTTTTCCTTTTACTTTTTTTGTTTCTTAGGCACCCAAAAAGGGAGTAAAATTTCCAGGACTTAAGGGTGACAACGTTGACAGTTATTTGAGGTGGGTTAAGGCAAAAGAGAAAAAGGCTGGTGCTGCTGCTCTTGCTCAAAGTTTGGTGCTTACACCGGTTGCTTTGATTGAATCTCCTGTTGTATCTGAATCTGTGAAACCTATTGTTGTGTCTGAATCTGTGGCACCTACTGCTGTGTTATCTGCTGCTGTGGCACCTACTGTTGTTATCTGCTGCTGTGGCACCACGCTCAT